ATATTTTTCTTCTTCTCTTTCGTTTCCCCCTCCGTGCTGCCTTGCATGTGTGTGCACATGGACTGATTGTAGGATCTAAACAGATGTCACTTTTTGAAGGCCCTCAGTGATCTTAGAATATGACCCTGCTCAGTGCTCTATGACTCTGTTCAGAGTATATTTAGTACTCTAGTAAGGTAAAATATAGTGAGTGAGATACCCAAGAAAGGGAAGACTTCCCTCTTACACAATTCTTRCACAACTGATGGCAGAATTACTCATATTTAGGGGAAATGGCCACATTATCTGAGGATCTCTTTTTCTGAAACAAGGTGTAAGGAAGAATTACAAAATGGGAGTTGACCATGGTCTTGGCCATGCAGCATGATAGCTGCATCACCAAATATGATTGAATATAAAAGAATGTTTGGAAGTTCTGTGTTGGCAGGTCATTGGAATTTTTTTGCAGTTAAAAGGGTATAGACTTAGCTACACTAAAGTGATTAAAATGATAGTTAAAAATATGTCTGTTTTAAGTACAAAAGGATGTATGCTAGAATAAGTTTTCCCTTAATAGAATGGCTTGTATATATTTTACTATATTTTACTAACCTACTTTTTTTAAAATATCTTCCTAAGAGCCTGAAGAGTTCCCTGAAAAGTGTGATTTTACAGATGGTTAAAAGATTCCAAACATATATCAAAGCAAATTAACAGTTAACTTAACAATGTTCTTCAGCTAAACCAGTAACCTCTTCACTTAAAATTAGTTTAATATAGTGGATAGGCTTAGTGAAAGCCCATGGGTGTTCCTTGAAGTGATGTGGTATTTTCTTAGGACATATGTGATTGACGTTAAATAATGACAAATAATTTTTTTTGTATTATTTATCTTGTATATCCTTATTTTAAACCAGCTTGTAGGGCAGAGTTACATATTTAGGGTTTAGGAAGGAGTAAGTCTAGTGGCTAGTTGTTTCTCAAATAATTTGTGTTCTAAAGGACTTCTCAGTGCATGAAGTTGATTGCTAGTTGTATGCAACTCAATCATCTATGTGCTTTGGATGAATATTTAGGRTCTCTGATAGATGCTGCTCTTTGTTCTCATTAGCTGGGTTATTTTTAAGGTAGCTTGTGTTTTTTTGTCCTAGACTGTTAAGACAGTTTCTAAGATTGTATATTTGGAAACTTGAGGCAGGACAGAAATGCAGCACTTTTCTGTCTGTAGAAGTGGGTCAGTGAGAATACCTCCCAGCTGACCCCCACTGGTATGATGCTTCCAGGTGCCCTTCAAGATTTTCTGTTCTACAGGCACGTGTGTGAACCCAGAAATTATGTGGTGAAGAGGAAGAARCAGCATGACAGTGCAACCATGGTGCTAGATATGCCAGAGAAAAAGAATTGGCCCTTCAACACCTGCTTAGCAGCTGTATAGCTGCTCTGTTCCAAGCTTGCTTTTACTATAGTGTCAGAGGTTAATATATTGGAATAAAATTCCTGAATATTAGCAACTATTACAAATAAAAGGAGCAAAGTAAATTAAAAGACTGATTAAAAATTTATTATATATTGCGGTATGGTTTATAGTAGTAGAACTAGCCTCATAGTGAAGCAGGCATCCTTGAATTCTTAGGTATTTTTTAATTTTCTTTGAAATTTTTACATTTCTGAGTGTAAACCATAACTGTATGTTCAAACTGAAATGCTTCTTATCTGGGTCCTTTTACAAATACCCTTCWAAGTATACAAGAGACATTCTTGGGTGATTCATTCTCACCATTTCTGACTAGAGTGTGTCGCTGTGAGTTGCCTTGTTAGGAAGAGGTGGGTTGATTTAGTGTTTGACATCCCTCACGGATGGTTAAGGGACATTTTGACATCTCTCACAAACGGTTAAGGGACATGAGTAGTGGTTTCATCTCTTTAGTGCCCTAGTGACTCTCCAAGTGAACCCTCCTTTGTTGCAATTCTCTTTTTAAGCCTGGAAAGCCTGCAGAGTTTTGGGGCTTGTCTGAGAAGGTAGTCTTCTCCTTTATGAAGAACAGCAGCTAAAGCAGTTGGTAATTTTTCAGRACTGTGCATTCCAAGATGTAATCAACAATGTTTGGATTTGAGYAGGGATTTAAGGACTTTTAAGTTGTAGCTAATACAAACTAAAGTATGTGCATGCAAGATTTAGGGAGCAAGTTTTCTCACGTAACTAAGGACAATTATTACAGAGCAGTGAATTGGACATTGAATTAAAAAAAATAGCATTTAAATCTATAATTCATTCTCTATAGCAGGTGAAATTGGCAGTGTAGTGGACAGTATGTTGATGTCGGGATAGAAGCAACAGGAATTTGTAAAGCCTTTTTGACTCTAAAGCCTCCTGTAAGGATGAACAGGAAGAAAGAACTACCTGCTCTAGAAGGTGAAAACAGAAAATCTCAGAGGGGGCTTGTCTGTTTTCTTTGTATGGATGCATTCCCTACCTCCCTTATTTTTATTTTTTTTTTTAGTTTTTTCCCCTTCCCCCTTTGTAAGATTCTCAGCTTCAGACTATTCAAAATAAATCATAATATAATGTATTTGAATGTGATCTTCTTTGATAAATTGGAATGCCTTTTTGTGAAATATAATAAACATGCAAATAGCATGAAGATATGGTGCTACTCTTAAAAGATATTATAGATATTAATCTTATTCTAAAGATAGTCAGATCTGATAGTTGTCTTCCAGTTTTTAAATTATTCTAAGTAATTCATTTTTCTATCAGTCATAGTTTTACAAAAGTCTAAACAAAATTTTCTGTGTTTTAAAAGGCCATTTAAATGGACGTCTAAGGATACTTTTGTAGAAGGGTTTATTGCTTTTTTTTTTTTTTTTTTTTTGTCAGTGAGGGAGATTTTTCACTAAGGGAGAATTTTGTCCCTTCAAGTTACCTATAACTTTTGAATTGACACACATACTTGCCCTCTCTATTTTTCATCATTAATGATTTTCCCCAGAGATTACAAAACATTGAAACAAGCAGAAAAAACATAAGACAGGAATGAATGATCACATCCTTTGGAAAGCTTCAGACATGTACAAAAACTATGGCTATTTAAAAGTCAGATTTCTCTAAACTTCTCTAATACGAAGTGAAATCTTCTATTCTTCAGATGTCCTCTGCTGTTTTAATTTTCTTTTGATCAAAGGGTCAATGCTTTGAATTCAGAATGGAAATTGTTAGTTTAATGACATGAAAGCAAGTCATTATAATTAGGGGTGAGCTATATGCTCAAGTTGAGATAACTCATAGCAATTTCCTCAATGATTGTACTTGTCAGAAGTATTTATGTACAGATTGGATTTATCTGCAAATTTGACTTGAATTGGTACAGAGATTTTTTTTWAATTATTTTTAGAACAGTTTTAGTACGCATCTGAACACTCCTGGATTAGCTGTGGATGTGAATACAGTATTTTTTTAATATTAAAATATGACAAGTCCAAGTTTGCTACATAGCCAGGTTGCCTCTGTTTTCAGACAACAGATTATTGCAAGGTAAACTGAAGTAGAATACAGCTCCATGGTTATAAATGGATGTGCTTTTTTTTCTGCCTTCTTTTTCTCATTTACATTGTGGGAAGCCACAGCAGAAGATAATTTGAGTGTGTATAAACAGTGAGCTGCCTCTTTTTATAGGCAGACAAATGCATGTGTGTCTGTCAGACTGGGGTAAGCGTTCACCCTTAGGTTATTGGGAAGTAGTGCGTGTGTGGATGCTTGCTCATGTGACAGATTCCTACAGCACTCCTACTGTGGTCTAGTGCAGTTCAGCTAATTGACTTTAAATGTTATTTTATCAAGGCTTCCCCAMGGTGTCTGTAGCATAGAGAAGTTGTAATTTATGGCTTTTGAAAAAATCTTGACTGTTTTATAGTCCCTTCATTCTAATTTATATTTCCTGATACACTTGAAGATGTTTATATCTTAACCATGAAGGAGTAATTTGTCTCATTCATCTCTCTTTTTTTTTTTTTTTTTTTTTTTTTTTTCTTTTTTTGGCTGTTGTTTGTTATAAAGATTTTTTTCTGATAGCGTTGCGAAAAATACTTTGGTTTCTGGGTCATCTCTCTCTCTGTCCACATTGTTAGACTGGTTTGTCCCTTAAGTTACAGGACATACTATGGTAATTACCTGAGTTTTTAAGCATCTTTTTGGTCTTTCTTTACATTTGGTGTAGCGATGTTTACAAGTGCTCAGAAATGTACTAGCCTTGAGGTACCACATGAACTACTGACAGAATTACACAGTGAAATGTTTCTTGTGAGGACTGTGTTATACAAATATTTTTTTCCCAGAATTTCTTGCAGCTTCATCAAAATAGCTAGATCTAGATAAGTAGGCAGTTGAACATCTGTATGTAGCTTGGCTTGCAGTAGTGTGATCTTAGGGAAAAGTTATTATTTTAAAAATATATAGGTATGATACTTTTCCTAGCCCCTGGAAAAAGGTGAACATAATATTTGCCTCTTACTGGAAAAGGATGAAGTGTTTTCTTTTTGTTGATTGATCTCCMTTTACCTTTTATAGAGGGTTAGATAGTATTTCTTCAAGATAAACTCCTCTTTGGTGAATGTTTGAAGAAAGCTGTAGAACAGTGGCAACTGCAGAYGTTTCTTACATACCCACACTGCTATATTAGCTTCTGCATCAAGCCAGGATCCTGAAGATGGAGAGCTCAATTTTCCAAGTTCTTGGATGCTCCTTAAAAATAATTCTGCCATTTTGTAGTATATTTTATTTTTAGTTGTTGTTTGCCTTATGAATATTAATGTTAACCCTGTAAATAGAAGCTGGAAAGCTTGAAACACTCTTAAGGCCGGGGTTTAAAGTATTGYCAAAGTTGTGCAGAAGTGCCATTATATTCTTGATATAAAATTCAAATTCACATATTTGAATAACTCATTAAAGGACAGTTTTATTACATTATTGAATATTCTTTATTTTATTTTGATTTTTGGTTAACTAATGTACTCTTTCATTTCAGAATGTATGAAAACATGTCCACAATGGTGTACCTAAAGGAAGAGAAGTTGGAGAAGCTCACACAGGATGAAATCATTGCCAAAACTAAGCAAGTTATTAATGGACTAGAGGCACTGAAGAATGAACACAATTCAATTTTACAGAGCTTACTTGAAACACTGAAATGTTTGAAGAAAGATGATGAAACCAATCTGGTTGAAGAAAAATCAAACATGATTCGAAAGTCCCTGGAGATGTTGGAACTTGGGCTTAGTGAAGCACAGGTAAAACTGGAGTAGAAATAAAGCATTTCAGGTTTTGACTAAAATTTTGATATTAAATATTTAAAAAAGGAAACTCYTTATTTGACCTCTAATTAGAAACTTTAAACAGAAGTCAATGCTCAAGTGCTGATATTAACCTTACTAAGTGTTAAACATGAGCTGAGACATTTATATTATTATCATATGTTAAGGAGGAAGACTACAGTGATGAAACAGAAGTAAATACTAGCTGTTACAGAACTAATTGTGGCATAAGGTATTAAAGCATTGAAGTCCAAAATTGATCTCTYTTTGACTTCAGTGGGAAATTTACTGCTTTTTGGTTAGGTTTTTCCACATCATTAGTTGGGTCATGCCTGAGAGGTTCAGAAATTAGGCAGTATCAGCAAACTTAAAAATATTCTTTGGAAGGTTAAGGGTTGAATACAGAGCCCCAAAACACTTCCATTGATGTTCCAAAGAGAAAGAAGGGATATATGATACTTGCCATGGAAGCATGGAATTGAAACTATCCAATCCCTGGCCATCATGGTATGGAGTGTCAGGCTTTAGTGCATAAAAACTTTGATCCCATGTGTAGAATGGATGGACTTTTACATGGTATTGAGACTCTGAAAAGCTAGTTTTGATTTCTGACTCTCTCAGATTAATTAGTTTCAGTTTCAAATGTTATTGCCCTGTCTGCCAGTCTGGTGTTCTATAAACTGTGGCACCTGAGGATGCAAAACGTCTGCACGTGCAGCCTTTGTTCGGAAAGCAATTACACTTGGAGCAATGGCTTGTCAGACCCGAAAAGCCCAGTGTTCCTATGTGCTTTGGGATGTCACAGTGTGATCTCTCATTTCTCTTGTTGTATTATAYACTCAGATATGGCAATATTTTCATGAATGCTTGTAGAGATGATAACCTCATCATGTTACTGTCATGAAGATGAAAGTAGCTTTGCTAAACAAGTATCGAACTTTGCTTTCAGGTAACTCTAGAGTAAGTTTACAAAGGGTTTTTGTTTGCCATTGTAGTTTATACATTGGAATTTGACTGTATTGATGATACTATTAAAGATCATGCTATCGCAAGTTCCTTAAACATATTTTCTCATGTTAAAAATGTATTAGTTAGAAGAGGCCAACTAATTTAAATAATTAACAGCTTTAAATATGTAAAAAGAGATAAGTCTAGAAATTTGGACTGATGTTACAAATTTATCCCTGAAGTTTGATCTTACCTTTATAGAAAAAGTAGTTTGTGAATTAACACTTGAAAATGTTAATTTTCAGTTTAAAATAYACATGCTTCAACAGAATATTCAGTTTAAAAGAAATAATTATGTTTAAATCAAACACAAAATAAAGAGACAAGTTGCTAATAAYTCAGGGATGTCAAACACTTCTACACATTATCTGTAGTGATTTCTGCAATCACCAGTGGCCCAGGCTTGTRGGGCGTGCTTTCTAGGATTGTTCTTCAGGTAATCAATGGGAGGTTAGCATGAACAGGGAAGGCAGAATATATTCTGYATGTAGTATTGGGCTTTCACTTAACAAACTCCTTTTGTGGGTAATAATGCTTAACATTTAAGAAGAGAAGGGGGAGAAAAAAAAAAAMGAATGCTTTTGTGGCGATTCTATTTTTGTCCTTAATATGGCTTCACATACAGACACATCGATTGTCTTTACATTTGAATTTGTGGTATGTRTATGTAAGGTGCTTAAATTCAATTCAGTTCCATGTTTAGATTTAAATAGTGTAACTGTGTCTTTGAAGTATTATTGTATTATTGTTATGCTGAGGAGCTGATCCTTATAARCCGCAAACATGCATATGGATCCTCCTCCATCTCAAAATTGCTGAAGTAGAGCTATCATTTAGTTCTTACAGGGAAGGTTATCTTTACAATTCTTGTAATTTGTTAAAAATACACTTAATCGGTTTGTATTAGTAGAACAAAAATTTCTGTTTCAGCAATCTAGGTTCTAGTTTGTCTATTTTTATACATGTTAATAATGCATATAATATTTAAGGCTTTCTAAAGCAGTTTGGCCAGACTTTGACTTCAAAAGATGCATCACAAAAAGCAGTCATTAATAAAGAATTCCTGTAGGCTCATTCTGATGGAGCAAATGGTAAATATCRTCAGGTACAGGGAAGATGAACACCAAATAGATGCATAAGAAAAGGTAAAATATAAAAGGTAAAATCTGAACCAAACTTTACAGCTGACAGAGGTTCTCTATATAAAAACCTTTTGTTGTTAAATAAGGACTGCATTTAGAGGACAGATGTCAAATGATATTTTCTGCTTTTTAGGTAATGATGGCATTGTCAAATCACTTAAATGCAGTGGAATCAGAGAAGCAGAAATTGCGTGCCCAGGTTCGACGGTTATGCCAGGAAAATCAGTGGCTGCGGGATGAACTAGCCAATACACAACAAAAACTACAGAAAAGTGAGCAATCTGTGGCTCAACTGGAGGAAGAAAAGAAACATCTAGAATTCATGAACCAGTTAAAAAAATATGACGATGATATTTCACCATCAGTAAGTAGCTGTTCAGTAAAAAGCAGCTTGTATTTGGATGTGTGTTGTAACATGCCTACTTACCAAGAAATTTTGCAAGTGCAAGTTTGTATTTGTGTGTGTATAGATATATAAATTTGTCTGCAACATAAAAATAACTAAATAACTACTACTAAAATTTTTACCTTCTACCAATGTTACAGGTCACAGAAAGAATCTGGCAGATTAGGTTCTTTATTTACTTAGACTCTACTGCATGTAGATGATGATATAGTAGATATGAGCGCAAAAAAATGCTAAATAGTCATCATTAACTTARGGTCCTATTAGCTGAAGAACTGAACTTGAAACCAAATATTTTCTTCTGTATATCTTTTGTTGTTCAGTGGCAGTATTGTACAGGACCACTGTTTTGACTGCAGGAAAAATACTTATTTTTGGGCCAATGAAACAGTGTCTAGTCTCAGTATCTGTTGAGAGCGTACACTAGGATAAAAGGTCTTTGAATCTGGTTTCTTGACCATTATGATCATCKGCGTCTTTTCAGTTGGTGGTAATTACATATATTTTTAATTTTTAAAATTTAATTTTTGAAAATGGATACAATTGTAATTTACAGAAGTAACTAAATAATACTTCTCATTTGTTCTTCATCTTTTTATTTTGTTTCTTAATATAGATGATATTGCAGAGAAAGATCTTATTTGGTATGTTCTGATCTTCTCAGTCATGTCTTCRAGAGAACAGTTTTTTGTAACAAAGTATCTCAGTGTCATAATGAGGGAAAACACATGCATTTTAGTCATCCCTAACCAACTACTGGACYAAATGCTTTCTAACATAGCGTGAGTTCTTTTTAGTTAGTTGTATGCAGATTTTTTCCGTGCTGCTTCTGTCATGGAAGGAGTGGTGGGCRGGCGGGGGGGTAAGTGACAAAATGCACTTCACTCGTATGAAAGAAATACTAATAGGATTTATTAATATGGACAGTGATTTCATGAGATTCTGTAGCAAGGTCACTTATTATTTACTGCATGGAGGTTTAAGATAATACACGGTTATCAAGGACACCCTCCTGTTGAGTCATGAGGTTCAGATTGGACCCACTTGCTTTCCAAACTCCTTCTGAGAGAAGTCTGGGTGCAGCTGAATCCAATCCTAGTCCCAGACCTTGTCAACAGTTTATGACTAAGGATTTTTGTGCACAGTTACAAAGTAAAGTTTAAAGAGAGTGTGTTATGTTCACTTACCATGAATCTGTTGCGGAAAGCTCGAGGAGTAACCTTGAGGGGCGTCCCTGCTTGAGGGGAGATCCTGATGTGCAGCCCRCTGCCATGCAAGGAGAGCTCCAGAGGCTCCTGGGCTGTCCGTGTATTTATGGGATAAGAAGATTGACTTATAGTCATTCTTTCACTTGAAAGGACCTTGGCTAGTGTAGCAGCCTTGTCTCCCCATCGGGATGCAGCCATCAGGACTGCTGTATTGATGTCTGAGCGGGAGAAGAAGTCAGGATGGTGGCGCCTACCAGGATTAGAGAAATCACTGGTRGTTAGCAGCTGAACAGGGCTGCATGTACAGGTCAGGTTGAGTTGGGAAAGGAGCGTATCCGTCACACTCCACCCCGTGACTATAGTCAATTCATCTTATCATCACAGAGTGGTGGTACGGTCACCTCTTGCCTCTGTGCCATAAACAGTGTATTTATAGTTTTTGCACTCACAGGTCCATGGTAAGTAAACATTTTAGCATAAAGTATTGCTACTATGTACTAATTTATACATTTGGGGTATCTGCGTTTGGGTTATTTGTTTCATCATGTACCAAATCTGTATATACAATACAATTATAAGTAATAGACCTAATAACAGTAGAGCTAATAAAAATCACAATTGGATGAAACATGAGATTAAAAATTCCCATTGCTGTTGGTGACTGTCCAAGAAGAGTTTCCCACCAATGGTGTTCTCCATCCCTTTTCACTCTTTCCTGAACACGACATATTTCTTCTGTATCACGATGAACAGTGATGAGGGTTCTTTGTCCTTTGTCTCGGATGCGTTTCAGTAGGTGATACAGATCATCGTGTTGTAACAGTTTTTTCACCAACGTAAGGTCCATTCCGATGGGGGCAGACAACAAATCTCAAACATGAATACTGCATTTCCATCTGCCATCATGTGTGCTGCTGCAAGAGAAAATAGAAACTTGTTTCGGTGGRGTGAGGCCGAACAGGTTACCCCATTTAAAAAGAAGGAAATCTCCATCGCGTGCTAATTCTGTTTTGCACCACTGTTATTAGTAGCTTCCCAGGCAGGTAAGCCACAAGGTTTAGTTAGTCATAGGCACAGAACCCATGGATGGTACATTGACCATCCCAGGCTGTCCTGGCTGTAATGACATTCTCTTTTACCTGTAGGTGGAGCACTAAGTTCATTTTTCACAAAGAATGCTCAGCTTATAGGGCTTCCAGTAGGCCCACAAGGATTATTTAATTATTGGAGAACTGTGGGAAGTCRGATATCCCATTGGGCCTTGTGTGGGTTGAGACTCTGTTTGTATTGATGTATTGATATCAATAATATCAATACTATTCAATCGTATTGATATTTTACAATTGTATTGATACAATTCAATTGTATTGATATTGTACAATGCAATAATATCAATACAATTGTTTGTATTGATGTATTGATATCAGTACATCCTGGGAGGATGTATTGATGGTTGAGAATGTATTGATATYGGTGATTGATGATTGAGGATGTATTGATATCCTACAGAGGATTTGAATGGTCCAATATAATCCATTTGCYATGCAGACCACATTGATAAGCAGAGGTGGAGCTTTAGCAGAATGATCTGCTTGCAGCCTTCATCTGCACTGAGGACATTCCGTGAGAATAATTGCACAAGTTTTCTGGTTTATGGACCAGCCTCTCTGTGCAGCAAAGTGCARCCTTACCTGTGTGACCTAGGTTTTGATGTAACCATTCTCCTAATCGATACCACTCAGGATCTAAGGTGATTTGCCTAATTTTGGTCAACTCATCYACCTTTTGATTCTGCTTTGTGTCTGGTTGATTATGCTTAGCATGAGCTTTACCCATCCCATTTGAAATSGTGTTTTTCTTGCTATATCCTGCAATAGTTGCCAATCTTGTTTTCTCCAGACTGGAGTTCTGTTTACTTCCCAGTTAAGAGTTTCCCRTYGATAAATCCATTGTGTGGCACCAGCCAAAACAACCACCACCCCTCATCGATGGTGCACCAACAGAAAACGTTTGATTTACAGACCCTTCAGCAAAAAGAGTAAATGGTAAATGGCTATATAAGGCTGTTGCATTAAATATTACCACTGGTGAAGGAGTAATAAAAGAAGATGAAGGCAGTGCACAGATAGGAGAGTTAAGAGCAGTAGTTTTAGCTGCACAAAATGGARCAAGGGCTATATATGCAGACAAATATATGCTAATGGATCTGTATTCACCAGCATCTGCAATTTGGAAACCTTAGTATGTCCTTCAGTTAACTGCATATTTTCTGCAATTCCTGTTAGGTAGGCATACCACTTTTCCATAGTGGGTTTTTGTGCAATTCCTTCTGGGGGAGCAGTCCCCTTTAGGATTGCTTCTAGCAAATTAAATGGTCCTCTAGTTTGTGCAGGTTGTCCTTGGGAACAAGCTCAACCTGTTTAACTACTCTATCTAAGGATAAAAGTCTTTTCTCCCATTCAGAATATCATTGTTCCATTTCTTTAAATGCAGTCGAGCTAAACAAAAAAGGTCTTTTTGATCCATCAGGGCCATTTTGGAACAGGTTACAGTAAGTAGCATGTTCAGCAAAATCCCATTCAGCTATAATCGGGTCGTGGCGGTGTATTGGTCCCACTGACTCGTATGTTTTTAATTCTTCAGTCAGGGTTTTGACTGCCTCTTCATGTTCTAGTTCCCACTTTGAAAGTTTGCCTTTCCTTAAGAGTGAATATAAAGGGTGTGCAATAATAGAAAATCCAGGTACAATATCCTGAAGTTCCCATCAGTTGTTGTAATTCTTTCTTTGACTGGGACATTTGCAGCTCTTCAGTTTTCCTTAAGGTATCTGGAAGAATCACTGCACTGCCAGCTACCCACCAAGTACTTAAGAATTTTACTTCTTTGCTTCGTCCCTGACATTTTTCAGGTGGTACCTCAATGTCAGCTTCACGTAGGATTTGACATACTTCTGTGGCTGCTTTCTCAACCTTTTCAGGAGAATCACCCCCAATTAGGATGTCATCTGTGTATTGGTACAATTTCACATCCTGTGGTAGTGAGACCACCTGCAAAAGTTCAGCCAGTGCAATAGTAAGTGAATGTTTATACCCTTGTGGGAGTCRATTGAATGTAACTTGTGTGCCATTCCATGTGAAAGCAAATTTCTCCCTATCCTTCTCTTGTAAGGGAACCATGAAAAATATGTCCTTTACATCTAGTGTTGCTATCCATGGGTGTGCAGCTGCTTGTAAGGTGGCTATTAGGTTTRCAATATTTGGTACAGCAGCTGTTAATGAGGCAGTTTTAGCAATAGTCAGTTGTAAGTTGCCACCTTCCGTCAGGTTTCCGAACTGGCCAGATAGGTGAGTTATATGGGGAGTGGGTTTTGGAGATGATCTGTCGCTTCTCCAAGTCAGCTATGGCTTCAGAAATGCCACGCCGTGCTGCAGCAGGAGTTGGGTATGGGGTACGTTAGTAAGTTTTCAACTGGGGAGTGGGGGGGCTGTGCRAAGTACACACACTGTAGCCTCCCAGTTTCTACCTGGACTGGGGCAGATGTTTGATGCAAATGACCATATGCTGCCATCTAGCAACTGCCAGGTTCATTCATTTAAAACATCAAAGCCGAAAATATTTTCATTATAATCTTTAACTGTAAAGATATCAGTCAACAAATGCCTCTGACCTGGGAGCCMTAGACTGACCTTGGCAGTCTGGCACACAGCACTTGCTCCATTTACACCAGTAATTGTAACTTTTTTCTGTCCAGGTTGCACACACAGCTTTTTAACACTCTCTTGTGTTAATATTGAGACCTGTACTCCAGTATCTATTAAAAACTTTACTAATTGTTGCTGAGGACCAACAGGAATTAAGATATATGGATCCTTATCACTTATTCACTGATAAGCCTCCATTCCCGGACAGGCAGGCCCAACTGTCTCCCTGGCCTTACTTGTTTTTTGAACTTATTTCTTTCAGTTCTTCTCTGGGGTGAGAGAAGGGAAGGTTTTCTTTTCCAGGATCTTATGTTGAAGGAGTTGATGTACGCTCCTTCCTTTCACCCTTTCCTTRTTTCTGGAAAGCTTCAATTAAACTGAGAATTGTGTCTGGGGTTTGGCCTGGTATAGCAGCTCTGGGGATGCCTAAAGCCAGAGCCTTTCCTCCATAATTCATTCCTGCATTTCCTAAATTCAGTCTGCGAGGTTTGCTGCTCTTTCCCTTTGAGTCTGATATTAGTTCCCCGTTTTACTGGTCTCACCCTGTGATCTTCACTTCGGAGTTTAGAGTTTGCATTGCTGTTAGAATCGCACCAACCTATTTCACGACCGTAATCGGCTAGGTCCTGCATTAGCTTAGCCCAGGAGGGGAGCTGTTGATGGGGGTCCTTGATACGTAATTGCTTGTTGTGTTCGGTGTCCCTCCTTATCTCATCCCGTTTGGACACTAGATAGTACTTAAGGATGTCTGGAGCACCTCGTAACAGTGGTGTTAGCATTGCAGGATTCACTGTAGCAGATATGGGGGCGTTGTTAGTCCCTCGTTCATGCATGGCCTGGATACAGGCAGCTTTTGTGACAGCAATAAATAACTCACTCAGTGATGTGATAGGGATTATGGAGGGTTCTTCCCGGTCCAATACATGTATTCCTCCAGCCCAGTAGGCCACTCGGCTGGTGATTGAGTGAGGAGGATCTGGTGGGTCAGGTCCTAGGTTTAGGAAAACACCAGGGCCCCAATAGCCATCTGCTTCGTCCCCACTCRGCATTATCCGATCTCCACCACTCAAGCAGACTCGCCACAGGTACTCGGTTTCAGTCTCACCTGCTCTCCTGCTATACTTTTCTTGTAGGTTAACTAATTCTAAAGGGTCCCAGAGTCCGTCAGTTCTTTCTGTTTTTGCTGCAGGTTGAGCTTTATATACAGGAGGTTCAGAGGCATACAAGGAGTCATTGTCATTGTCTGAGCCACTGTCCTCAGAACTGTTACAACTTCCCCAAATGTCCCCATCCCAGTCAGGAGATACTATCAGTTTTTTTGTGTGTGTTACATCAGGAGGGTGAGGAGCCCATAAAAGCATCATTTCTACTTTTTTCYCCAGTTTTTGCCTCTTTTCTTGTTCTTCCTGTAATTGTTTCTGTGATTGCTGGATCTTTAAGGATAACAGCAATTCAGTGTTTTTCTTCTCTTCTATTTCTTTTCTAAGATCCTGTTCTATTTTATTCCTTTCTTTACATTCTTGTATTGCAGCTTCCAAACAAGTTCCCAACATCTTAYAAATAATACCTTTTCCTTTGCCATCACTTAAGGAACCTCTAGCCAATTTTAAATGTTCCTCCACAGCTTCCCAGTCATGCCAGTTATCACGAGCCCACTCCTTTGAGAAGCTGGGACTCGGGTTCACTCCATGCCTCTGTAAATAATCAGTGATACTRCTTGCCATCCTGCCAACTATGCCAATTTGTTACGGAACGAGTGGTGGTATGGGGTGAGTGACAAAATGCACTTCACTCGTATGAAAGAAATAACAATAGAATTTATTAATATAGACAATGATTTCCTGAGATTCTGTGGCAAGGTTGCTTATTATTTACTKCATGGAGGTTTAAGATAATACACGGTTATCAAGGACACCCTCCTGTTGAGTCATGAGGTTCAGATTGGACCCCCTTGCTTTCTAAGCTCCTTCTGAGAGAAGTCTGGGTGCAGCTGAATCCAATTCTATTCCCAGACCTCGTCAGAAGTTTATGACTAAGGGATTTTGTGCACAGTTACAAAGTAAAGTTTAAAGAGAGCGCGCTATATTCACTTACCACAAATCTGTTGTGGAAAGGGATTTCTGAAGCTTGAGGAATAACCTTGAAAGGTGTCCCTGCTTGAGGGGAGATCCTGATGTGCAGCCCGCTGCCTTACTGGGAGAGCTCCAGAGGCTCCTGGGCTGTCCGTGTATTTATGGAATAAGATGATTGGCTTATAGTCATTCCTTCACTTGAAAGGACCTTGGCTGGTGTAGTAACCTTGCCTCCCTGTTGGGATGCAGCCATCAGGGCTGCTATGTTGATGTCTGAGTGGGAGAAGAAATTGGGACAGCRGCGCCTACCAGGATTAGATAAATCGCTGGTGGTTAACAACTGAACAGGGCTGCAAGTACATGTTAGGGAAAGGAGCATATCCGTCACAGCTTCATGCAGTGTTACTTGAAGCTGAATTTGGTCAGTGAAGCTTGTTTTGTGCTGTTCCTGAACTTTTTTTTAAGAAGGAAATGATCAGGAGGGGGATAATACTGAGATTTTAATGTGCTAAATGTGGGTCTATAATCTTTGGATGGCCTAAATAGAATCATTACTTGACTTGGACTGAAAATTTGAAATTAATTAGCAGATAGGAACTAAGTAAGCAAAGCGTCTTTATGGTTTCCCCAGTTACATAAACAGTCTCTGTTAATGATCTTTGCATACAGTTGCAGGTAACACTTGGTTAGAGCTTAGAAACAACACACACAAAACTGGAAACTTCCCTTATGACATCAACTACATCCAAAAGCATCTACTGTTTTTGCAGAGAACTCACTTTTCCAGCACAGAGTGTGTGTGCCAACAGCAGCAGTTACCCTTCTCTCATCTGTGGAAAAAGATGTTGGATGGATGTTTGGGGAGGGGAAAACAGGATGTGTTTTGGTGTTGGGATTTCTACTTAGGGAGATTGATATTTCTGACAACTTCAGCTATTTGTGTAGGCTACAAGTATAGGAAATGGAACTGAGTTTCTCTCTTTCAAATACCATTCAAAATCCCACAATTAAGAATGTTATCATTTTTATATATCAATGAACTGTRGTGAGTTTTAATATGATGTGAAAATAAAGAGGAACTTCCTTCCAGGAGTGTGGGGGCTGTTTTTTGTTTGTTTTTGATTTTTGCTTTTTGAACCTTAGGAACACAAGTTCAAAATGTATTATTAGTGCAGGAACTAAGAAACTAACTTGAAGAAATTAAAGTTGTTGGTGCAGGTTTATTCRTCTTTGGGAGATGAATCTCCTTACTCCTCTCCCCCTTGCAGCAATAATTGCACATATAACCTCAGAGTTATTGTGCACTGTAGTGTATATCTGTGCAAGAACAGCAAATGTCGTCTTGTGTGTTCAAGTTGAGACCGAAATCTAGGAGACCTGATTTTTATTCTTGGCTTTCTTGAAGATGTCCTGTATTTTGTTGAGACAGAATCTGTAAGTACATTTGGACATGAGACTGTCCTTAAACTTCTGTGAGAAATCTGATTCTTGGTACTTTCTGTGTTTTGCCTGTGGGATTTTCCTTTTAACATTGCTGGTTAAAGAGACTCATCATGGAAACTCATTATGGAACTCTTATTTAAATTATTGCATAAACCTCAAACTTGATAATGTAACAAATTGTTTGGATTTGTGGGTGTTTTATAGGAAGATAAGGATACGGATTCCACCAAAGAGCCTTTGGACGACTTATTTCCAAATGACGAAGATGAACAAGGACAAGGAAGTAAGTACATTTCAAGTGATATTGTTAGTGTGYTTCTGCAGCACTGAAGCTAGAATGTTGTGAAGCATGGAATTGAATAATCCATATGTAATGTCCTATAAGCTAGAGCAGAATGGTGATTATCTCTTGAAAAACTTGTAGTCCTGTATACCAGCCACCAGAGCTAGATTTTTGAGGAAAGTTTCCGAGCTCTGACAGAGCTAGAGTTCTCGGAACTCCTTTCAGTACTAAATTTGTTCCTTGGTCTAATGAGTCACTGAATGGAAGAAGACTTGTTTCAAGTGACTCAGGCAGATTCTGAAACATTGAAGCTGCTTATTGGTCTGCCCACGTGCTGAATTCTATTAGTGACTTTCCTGATTTAACATTTTGGGGCAGATTTCAGTGTGAAATCTTTCCTGTATAATCCTTTGTATCACTAAGATTGTCTTCCTTGTTCATCACTCTAGAAGCATTGCCTTCAAGTCAGAAGGATTGGTGAATATGGATACAGTTAGCAATCTTGTAAAATGTCAGTAGGAATCCATTGATAAGTCGAGCTTTATTCATGAGCATATTTCATGCTTCTCTTTGAGTGTGAAGGTAATATTATACAATGTGTTGATATGGTAATGTAAAGGCAATATGCTTTGGTTCCTAGCTGATAAATGACTAAGGCAAAATGTCTGAAGGGCCTCTCCTTAGTAATCATCAAAATTGGATTTCCTTCTTGTACACATGTAAGATACAGTCTTGATAGTTTGGTAGTGAAGACCAGCAATAGAAGGAAGACATGAAGAGCTCAGAATAGTTCAGTGTTTATCATGAACTCCATCCTGAGCTCAAACTGGCTTCCCAAGAATTTTGTGGGGGAAAAGTTGAGTGTCAGAGTTACCTCTCTAGCAGTATAATCTGTATACCGAATTCTGCCCTGCAAAAAAGAAGGATGTCACTTCAGTAATTTCTTTGAACTTGATTAAAAAATGCAAAAATATTTAAGTACTTTGGAAGACAGTGACTATGGGCACAGGTTTGGAATCATATGATTCCACTGACCTAAGGCTCCCACTTGCTGCAAGGTGACTGAAAGGTAAGGAAAAAAAAAGTCAGTCTCCCTCCCCTCTCCTTTCCTCTTTTTTTTTTTTTCCCCCCTGCAGTACTGCAGTACTTTATGCAAGAGCCCTGAGTATTTCTTGAAAGGTATAGCAAACCAAAAGAAACAAACAAAAGTGTCCTTTTGGAGAAGGAGAGTAAAGGAAAAAGAACAGATCGGTTCAACTTTTCTGTAGTTGTTTGGCTACTTTGGCTTCTCTGTTCTGGTGTTCCTTTCCATAGGAAATCCGTAGCAATCCATAGGGATATTTTTAAGTTTAAAATCGTGAGATTTGTTAATAACTTGCTGTGGTGGATTGACTCATGTGTTTCTTTATCTGTTTTTTGACGTTTGTCCCTTCAAGCTAATAGAAGTGTGAAATACTAATAATCTCTTTGTGCATTCAGCAAGGATAGAGTACGGAGAATAAAACTGTCATTGCTGTTTGAGAGATTGTAACTGTGGTGAAGTGTATTCTAATATACTGGTATTGAGGAAATCAAGTGGTTCAACTAATGAATAGTATCATTAGTTGTTTTCTAGTTATGGTCATCTCTTTAAGCAACTTAAAATCTCATGCATTTCTTCCAGTTCAACAACAGCACAGCAGTGCAGCTGCTGCTGCCCAACAAGGTGGCTATGAAATTCCAGCAAGATTAAGGACCCTTCATAATCTTGTAATCCAGTATGCTTCCCAAGGTAGATATGAGGTTGCCGTACCCCTTTGCAAGCAAGCTCTTGAAGATYTGGAGAAGACTTCAGGTCATGATCATCCCGATGTTGCCACCATGTTGAACATACTTGCTTTGGTGTACAGGTTTGTATTCTGACGTAGAGCTGTATCACCTATATAAGCAATTAATATTTGGCTTTAACCTGTTAATGTTCAGCTTAGTACTTTGGATTCATTGATTTATTTTGTCACCCTTTTTGTAAAACCTTGAGACATTCTTTGTATGTCTCCTTACTTTTAAACAAGATGTGGATTTTTTTTTCCTGTACTCTTGTTTTGAGAAAGACACTGCTTTTCAAACCGTTCCACAGCTTTTTTTCTCTATCAAGGGTTCATGTAGGTTAGCCATTTCCTGAATATGTAGGGCTGTAAATTGGACAGTCCTGTAGAGATGGAGACAGTCCTGTTCTAGTTCGGCAGCAAACTGCTTGATGYATTCATGAGTTAGAAAGTTAGAAACTGAAGTCTGTAACTGTACTCTGAATTCTTCTTCTCTCTAATGGAATGTTCAGGCCAGTATGGAGCCAACTCGTATTTTTTATGACATTTTGAATGTCCAGTGTTATTAATTATGACTTTTAAAATGTAGGGACCAGAACAAATACAAAGATGCAGCAAACCTCCTGAATGATGCCTTGGCTATCCGTGAGAAGACTTTGGGCAAAGATCATCCTGCGGTTTGTATACATGCAATGTCATATTTTCAGTTGTGTTTTTCACTGAATTTTTTTTCAACTCATTTTAATGTTAAACTCAACAGGAAAGTTTTAAGACCTGGCTTATCTCTAAACAGTGCAGGTAGGAGCCACAGTATGACATATTTTGTTTTCTCTTAAAGATTTAACATGCTTTCTGAGCATTGTATTTGATTCTGTTTCACCACAAATGACTTGCAGTTGATTTTTTGGATCATATTGCATGAATTTTCTATGAGAAATTAATGTGAGAAAATAATTGCTYACTGAAATCAGTTTAATAAATTTAGATTAAAGGTGGATGTCTGATCTGTTTTACTTTTAAATGAGACATAATTCAAATCAAGCTTTTGACTTCATTGTTTGAAATGAATGTGTTCCTTCCATTCATGTGGGTTGAAATGGGACAAATCTGAGTATAGATTTGAGAAATGTCTTTGTAAGAAAAGAAAATAAAAAGAAAATGTGTATCCATTATGACATCTGAACAAACCAAGACAAAGTATTCCTTGTTTTTCATGCTTTTCATATATATACATTCAATATTTTTTTTCCTTCGCTTGCTTTACTTAAAGACCTCTGCCTTGTACATGGAAGATTTAAGAACATCAGTGCATTGCAGATGTATTCGTTTGTCAGGTCTTTATATCAGCAAATTTCAATGTAATTAATATTTCTCTACTGTTGGTAGGTGGCAGCAACTCTGAACAACCTTGCGGTGCTTTATGGGAAACGTGGAAAGTACAAGGAGGCTGAACCGCTGTGTAAGCGAGCCCTGGAAATCAGGGAAAAGGTATGAGGAAAAAATGGCAGCACCTTTGTATGAATAACTTTTGGGGGTGAAACATTTTGTGTAGGGGTTAGGTAACTGTGTGTGTGAGTGTGTGTGAGAGTGTGGGGTGAGTGAATGTGGTGTATTTTGGTAAGGTYGAACTACCAGAGCAGCCTCAGAGTTACTGAGAACAAAGTAGTCAGTAATATCTGAAGTGTAAAACAACATTTGAATTTCTATACTCTTACAGAGAGCTTTGACTGGTTCTATTCTAAATTCTGAAGCCTCTTGTAAATCTACTTCTCTACCTTCCTTCCCTCCACCTCCTTCCCCTCTCCTTTGAGGGAGAGGTAATCTTGGTTTTGACAGGATCATTGAAATAAAACAGAAGCATAATTAAAAATATTGAGGTCAATTGGATATTTGTTCTAATTTGTGTGATTGAATGTACATCTTTTTCATGCAATATAATGTAATTATATTACTTATTCTTGTTTTGAGTCACTCTGTAACATTACCAATTATAATTGATTTGAATAATTTGTGTACTCCTATATGCGAAGTCTGCTTTCATCCTCATGCTGTAATTGAAGAGGATGAAAACTTACAGAGGCTTAAACATGGTACAATTTTAAGCCCTGATACGATGACTGCAGAATCTTTTAATGCAAAGTATTTCATTTCTAGGTCTTGGGGAAAGATCACCCTGATGTTGCCAAACAATTAAATAATCTGGCTTTGCTGTGCCAGAACCAGGGGAAATACGAAGAGGTAGAATACTATTATCAGAGGGCACTGGAGATTTACCAAACTAAGCTGGGACCAGATGATCCAAATGTTGCAAAAACAAAGAATAACCTGGTAAGGTATTTTCAAAGTAAATCTAAAAAAACATCTTTTTTTTCTGATGGATGGAAGTGGATGTACATTTGATGAGCAGTTATTGTATTGTTTATCAAGCTAATTAGAACGATGTGCTGATGTCTGTCTTTGGTTGGGGGGGTATTTTGTTTTTAGGCATCCTGTTATCTAAAACAGGGCAAATTCAAGCAAGCAGAAACTTTATACAAAGAAATTCTTACTCGTGCTCATGAACGGGAATTTGGTTCCGTTGATGGTAAGAAACTTAATCCCTAGAATTAATGTTTTTTTTAATAATAGAACTGAAAATATGAAGGAGATTAATTGTGCCTTTATYTCTTCAGACAGGCAATTTTAATTCTCAAGAGTGAAATTATAGATGYGCTGAAGTACTGCAAAATATCATAGGAAAGCATTTAGATTGCTCAATAACATCTAATTCTAAATGAGGGATTTTTCTGGCATGTAGAATACTTAGTAAGTGTATATTTTATAGGTTGCATTTCTTGCTCATTTATTTTATGCCAAAGAGAAATTCCAAATTTGATATTCTTGTAGAGACAGAAAACTATTCGTCATTTTCCAGACACAGGAATAAATCAGTACAGGACTCTTGATGACATAATAGATATTCTGGTGAAATGAACCATTGAATTAACTGTTAAAATGACTAAGGAATTGGGGAGAAAGTCCTTAATTTCTAAGTTTTACGGTATGTTGAAGTTAAATGTATTTCATCATCTGTATATCACAGTGAAGTATCTTCACTGAATGACAGTAGTRAAGCACTAGTTAGTAGATATCAAAACAGTTGTTATGATAAAAGAAATATATGTTTTCTAGCAAATAAGTAGTTGATAAACTGATTGCCGTGTATCCTGACATCACAACTTCTAAGAAATAACTCTGTTTCTAACTTCAAATAAGAAGAGACAGTGTTGTAAAGCTACCGTGTTGGAGAGTATGTTTTATTTTTCTGCTGCTTTCTATTGTATTGACGGTAGGTTTCTGTAATAGTAGTGATGTTTTAAGTCTATGGTTCTCAGCTGTGTCTTAGAAGGATGAAATTCAAACGGTGAATATTTTGCAGATTTATAGTAAAAAATACTTTCTTCTATGTTTCATCAGATGAAAATAAGCCTATTTGGATGCATGCTGAAGAAAGGGAAGAATGCAAAGTAAGGCCATTGTAGTAAAACTTTTGGGGAGCTTTTACTGTTTAAGATGCCAGTTAGTTATTTTTCTTTTTTACTTTTGCTTTAGGGAAAGCAAAAAGATGGCTCATCTTTTGGAGAATATGGTGGCTGGTACAAAGCTTGCAAAGTTGATAGGTCAGTATTTTCTTTTCAGGATTTTGACCACTTGGTAATRTCCAAAAGTGCAAGGTTAAAGCATATTTAAAAGTTAAACAAAACTAACAAGTGGCTTATGTCTACAAAATCGACAATGCAGAAGTTCAGTACAGTTCCTATACTGTCTTCTAGGAAGCCAGTAGTATTTTCCAAGCCCTGAGGCTGCTTTGGATCTAGGCCAGGTAGATGTAGTGAATTCTAATGTCACCGACTAGATCTATTGTTTTCTAGTGTGAGACCTGTTAACAGAATCTGCCGGTTTTTCCCCCTTCATTTCATAGTTTAACTTCAGTGTGAATGCACAGAAACTGAAAATAGGTAAAGGCTGATAAAAGGAATTGCTCCTTTTTTTTTGTGATTAGTACTACAGTAACAATGCAGTTTGAACCAACAGGTGTTTTTTTTAGAAGCTTCACAATTAATCAGCCTGATTAATTCAGTCAGAGATTCATTCACTCAAATCGAGCTAAATTTTCACCTCTGGAGGTTGTATCTGAAGAGCAGTACAAGCCCTCAGCGCTCTGGTTTTGTGCCGAGTGATTCTAGAGGCTAGTTACCAACATTGAGTTTCAGAGCTGTTGACTAACTGTAGTGGGAGCTGTTAATGTCCTTTGAAAAACCTTTTTTTTTTTTTTTTTTTTTTTTTTTTT